AATCCCCCTGACATGTATGCTCCACCAGCGTCAGTAACGATTTTGTTGGGTCTCATTTTATAAGTCTTTAGCGAACGATCGAGAATATATCGCATTGCGGAACATACGGAAGTCTCGTCCAATTTCTTCAATGGTTGTGTAAATACCATCTTTGAAAACTTGTCCACGCATACCAAAATATGAGAACATCCTTTATTCTGACGAGGATAAGCGTCCGATCCTAAAGCGAGACAATCGCTTTCCCAAACATCAAATGGTGCATATGTACGCTGAACGTTCAGGTTCAGCCTCTTCTTTTTTCGATGTATTTGATGAGTACGTTCTTTCTCCAGAAATGACTTTATGTCTTTCAAGGACAAGTCTGTCCCTTGTCTCTTCAGCATATTCTTCAAGCCGGATGCTCCTACCGGAGCTCCAGGCGTGTAATACAACTTCCGGAGTTCCTCCATATTTGTATGTAACGCTTAATTTATTTCATATAGAATTGTTTTACAGCATCGTTCGTTCTTTTTTGTTTTCGTCTATTCTCTGAAATGTCTAATGGTGCAAGATTTTCATAGTGATTTGATCCGCCTTGGGATTCAGGCATTATGTGATCGATTTCAAAGTTCCATCGGTAGTCATTCCATGACATGCCCTTAAGATCTTTCGACTTTTTGAGCAGTTCTTGGATGTATGACAAGAATTCTTCAAAAGTGCAACCTTCAACCCATGAGAGAGAGGTCCTCAGTTGCGCCATCCAAGCGGGATCCTCCATCTGGTTTCTAAGTGAAATAGAGGAGAATGATATAAATTTGCTGTGCTTTGCCCGAGACACTGCTGTATATAACATTCTCTTCGACATCTTCTCTACCTCGTGGATGGTGAACGGTCTGTTAAATGTTTGCCCTTGTGCCTTGTGTACTGTGGTACAATAACCAGAAAGAAAAAACTTTTGAAATTTGTTCCTGGGTACAGTGCATTTCATTATACCATCGGATAAATCCTCTTTTTCACAAATGACCTTTGTGTCATTCCAACTGGAAATACGCCATCGGGTTCCCTTGATCACTCCTTGATTGCGCATTGGCTTTCTAGAAACCACAGGGGATCCCTTGATGAAAATACAATCTTGCGTTTTTGAATCTTTGGGGATTCTTGGGCACTTTAGGATCCTTGCTTTGTTCCTCTCCAATTGTTCATCTCGTTTCATGTTAAGATCATTCCGAGCAGGATTTAGAGGCTTCAGTGCGGGTGATCAGGCCGTTGAAGCGCTCTGTTAGGTTCCTGTTAACCTAGGATTGGGGTTGAGAAGCTAGTTGTGGGGATTCTTTGTCGCTACGGCTTCTGGCCGCCGACTTATTTTATTGAATTCCTCTTTTTATACAAGAATATGCTACGGTAACGTCTACACTAGTTTCCGTAGCCTTCATTAGGGTGGCGGCGTCCGATCTTCCCATCTCGGACCATCGCCATGATCGATCATGGCTGCGTAACATATCCTTCACGCTGCGCTGGTGTAGCCCAGAACCGAGCTTGATCTTAGGGGTTTCGAAGCTTAGGTTACAATTGCGGAAACCTCAATCGTGGTCACCTGATGCCTTTGAGCGAACCGGTTTATCAGAGTCGTTCGCTACAACAGGAACCTAACAGAGTGCTTCAACGGCCTGATCACCTGCACTGAAGCCTCTAAATCCTGCTCGGTTCACAACTAACCGACTCTCCTTGCCTCTCGCCCTCAAGTCGCTACCGACGCCCAAAGAAAGGATTTGGAGACTACGATTCCTAGTACGGACACCCACACAACCTGCTAGGAGACCCAAGTTGTCTTTACCGTAGTCTACCAACAAAAAATCCGTTACACCTGGTTCGATGGTCTACTATCGCTTCCACTTCAAACTCGCCCTCTGAAGCGTCAGAATCCTCCGCTTGTGCTTCCGCGACCTTTTCCTCAGTTTTGGCGTCGACAGGCTTCTGGTACGGACGTAATTTCGATATGTGAAACCATGGATGAAGTCGTCTCATCTTGTCTGGCAGTTTTAACTCATAGTTGTCGTGGAGAGGGTTACAGTTGGTCACCGTGACTGGTCCCAGCCATTTCGGAGCAATCTTGGACTCATACCCTGCTAGGTTTTTTGTGCTCAGAAGCACCTTATCTCCTCTCCGGAACTCCAGATGTCGTCGTGATAAATCGTAATATCTTTTCTGCGAGTCCTGGGCCTCGATCATCAGATCCCGGATAAGGATGTTTAGGTCTCCGAGATGTTTACAGAGCTCTTCCGCGTCTGCATTTCTGGTTTCTGACGGCCTTTCAACGATGTCCGCCAGTGGATTGTGGGGCTCATAGCCTAGGTCCATCTTGAACCGCGTCATTTTTGTCGCCTCGTGTACCGTATCGTTGATAATGAATTCCACAACCGGAAGAAAGGTGTCCCAGTCGTCTAATCGGGTGTTGACCATTGTGGTAAGGACCTGCAAGACCGTTGCGTTGTCTCTCTCTGATTGTCCATCACCTTGAGGGT